GGGGGCTCTTCACTGTCTCTCCCGGCCAGGGTTGGAGGATTAGGATCGTCGCGAGGCGGGCGGGAGCGGGAAGGCAGGCGCTCCCCCTCCGGCCGCCATCCGGCCTGGGCCTACCCTCCCGGGGACCGCCGCCTATCCGGTCCCGGAGGCTGCATCCCAGGGCCAGTCAAGGCGCAAACAGCCTGGAGTGGGCAATGCTTAACTCCGAATGGTGTGAAGTGGGGGCATTCCTACCTGGCCACTACGGAGAGCTTCTTCTCGACGTCTCCCATCAGGTCAGAGGGGCCGGCCTGGGGGCCCAAGGTCCGATGACCCTGGTGTTGTCTCGGGTGTGAGCCTCTCCTCCCTGGAGTAATGGAGGGGCCGGAGGCTACGGGGAGGGAGTTTTGGAGGTGGACAACAGCCCTTGCCTGGGGAAATGAGGCCCACACCCCTTTGCCAGGGGAAATTGAGCCTGCGGATGGGGGCCCGGGCAGGAAGGCGCCTGGCAGGGGGTCCTTTGGGAAGAATTGAGCTCAGTCCACCCCCACTGCCCCCTTCCCGGGAGTGCTCCACTCCAGGCTGAAGATCCTCCCTACTCCCGACCAGGTGTAAATTCTTCAGCCTGACGGAGACCCCCGAGGATTACACGCTCATGGTGGACGAGGAGGGCTTTAAAGGTGGGGTCTAGTCTCATGCTTCCCTTAATGCAGGATTCCTAACGGATGCTGGGATCCAGATCCCAAGAACTTGGGCCTTGAAAGGCAGATGGATCTGGGTTCGAATTCTACTCCACCACTCACTGGCTCTCTTGATGAAATCACTTTCCCTGAGATATTTCCTCTTTAGTAAAATGGGTATAGTTATGGTAGTGATCTAGCAGGGTCCCAGGAGGGTATCATAAAAGTGAAACTGTCAGGGAGGGGTCACTTAATAGCCTTAGGCCAGTAAGGAGGGGGGCAGGTATCTTAGCTACAGGTCCGGACTTGAATGTGTGGGGTGGGGGAAGGAGGTTCCTGCTGCTGTTTTAACCCCTGGGCATTGTTTTCTGTTGGACTTCCCCGGGTATACATCAGCTCCTCCCCTGCTGGTCTAGGAACTCCTGGAGTCTGAGGGTTGAGAAAGGAATGCAGGAGCAGGCAGCCAGGGCAGGGTCCTGGGGGCCTCCTGGCTGTGCCTCTGGGAACAGCAGCCAACCCGGGGCCCTGGCCCTTGTTCAGAACTGGCCGCCAGCCTGGTCCCTCCCTGGGCCCTGGAGCTGCTGTCTCTTCCCACTTCTGCAAGAGTTACATCCTTACAGGCCGGGGTCAGACTAACCAACTGGAGGCCGTCCTATCTCCTTGCTGCTCCACTTCAGGCCTTGGGTTCCAAGTTGCTACTTAATTTCAGGGAAGTCTGGATCTGCAAACGAGGAAAAGCCCTTCCACCCACAGGCTAACCCAATCTGCTTGCGCCCCCCAGTGGTGCTTTGTGATATAAAGCCTCTGTTAATGCTCAAAACATTACTTTCGTCCCATTTTACAGATAAGGAAACAGATCATTTGCCCCATAATAAGTAATTAGCAGAGCTGGTATTTGAAACCAGTTAGTTGAGTCTGGAGTTCAGATTTTAATGGGAAGGTTCAACACCCCCCCTCCCTTCGCCAACACACACACAGTACCCAAAGCACTTCTCAGTCTGCATACCTATGGGTATTACTCTGCAGCACTAGGGCGAGACAGCTCTCATCTCCAGACTTGCCTATATATTGCTGACCCTCCAAGGCACAGACAGGGAAATTAAGTCTCAGAAAGGGGTAGGGCTAGCCCTGAAGGCCCTTACTAGGCATTTGCCTCCTACTACAGAGCTGCCCCCATCGGAATTTCTGCAAGTGGCTGAAGCCACCTGGCTGGTGATGAATGTATCGTCGCACAGTGGTGCAGCAGTGCAGGCTGCTGGGGTCACTAAAATTGCTCGCTCAGTCATCACGCCACTGGCCGAGCACCATGTATCTGTGCTGATGCTATCCACTTACCAGACAGACTTCATCCTGGTAAGTTTCCCATAGGTATAGGCACAAGGCAGCATGGGCATGGGTGCCTGGGGGACCCATGTGATGTGCCATATGCCTATGGCCCAGGTGCGGGAGCAGGACCTGTCTGTGGTGATCCACACTCTGGCCCAGGAGTTCGACATTTACCGTGAAGTGGGTGGGGAGCCTGTACCTGTTGCCAGGGATGATTCCAGCAACGGCTTTCCTCGTGCCCAGCATGGTGAGGTCTGCCTCTTGACACCTAAACTTTCCAGTGGGGCTCTTCCCTTATGCTGGTGGGTCTGGGGGCATGGGAAAACCAGCAAACGCTAACTGCCTCTTGAGCTGGGAGGAAGAGTGGGAGGTCCCAGGCTGGTTCCTGGAGTTTGAAGTAAGCCGGCCTGGGG